GCGGGGCGTCATCACGACTAGATTCGTTTGAGGATACCCGCTCGCGTTTTCCTAGCTCTCTTTATTGCGCGTCCCATCTCACGGCCATGCATACTGTCGTTCCTCGATTGCATCTCGGAGGCTTAATCTGTTGTTTCCTGTCTGTCTTTTGTAGCGAAGCGTTCGAGCGAGTTGTTTTGTATTGCATTTACAGCGGTCATGAGCGTGTTCTTTCTTTGGTTCCTATCGCGTTGTCTAATGAACCTTCTGGTGGAAGGTATGTCAGCTAGATGACGTCTCCAGCGTTGCCTGCAAGATGCAATCGTAACGATACTTGCTTCTGAAGAACTCACGAATTCGCAATCACCCAGTAATAACGATCTGTACATTCTAAGCATCCGGTGGACTGCATTTTCATCTGCTGACATAACATAATCTCGCAGCAGTCATCCTTGCAAAACAATGCATCGTATCCCAATTTCTCATGCACAGTCTGCGCGGAGCCAGTAAGCGCCCTCGACTATTCTTGCAGCCTGGTCGGTGGCTTACAGCATAACGTCACCGCTTACTTCTAAGTGACCTGCTTGACCTTCGGCGTTGTCAATTTTCACACACGCCCTTTCCACTTGCCGACTATCTACAAGCTCAACATTCCCTCGATTCCATCAAAATGGAGCCGGCTAGCGCAAATTCGTATGATACGCAAACTTTGTCAATGGAGCCTCCCGATACAGGTTCCGCTCCTTACGCCACCGTGGATCTGGAAGCTGGTATCCAAGCAAATGATAACCCGCCGTCGACATTTCATCAGCAATATCTTGAGCAGAATCGCACATGTAATATCCAAGCTTCTCACAAATACTCCGAATCTGACATAATATGGCTTCTGACTAAGACCAACAGCACCGATAGGACGCTGGAAGGACCGGATAATGAGCTGCCGTAGAAGGCTTAGTCGACGCAGGAGGCCTTCCTATATCGAAGAACTGCTCGCACCATACTCGATACCCTGTATGTTGCAACACTGTCCCAGTACTGAGCCTTCTGAGATTGACCAATACAGTGGAAGACTTCCCTAGAGGATATCCAAGCCTGGCAGCGTTTCAGTCCAGTAAACCGGAGTTCTCCATCTATCGATCATTCCACTATCTCCACTCGCGTGTTATATTGGAGCTACAGGATCAACTCTGTGAGCTTGAAGACAACCTTGCACTATTGGATGACTTCGATGCACAGTCTGCAGATCAACAGCAACGAAATCGAATCAGATCGCGCCGTACGGACGCAGATATAGCTCGCCTAGAGTACCAAAATCGTGAGAATCTTACAAACATCCGCCGGTCCGTCGATGCAGGAGAAAACCAGACTGGTGTTCAATCTGAAGATATACCCAACGATACGACAGTATGCCAGTCCGGTCTCAGCGAACGCGCCAGTCTGCTTGCAAAGATCCAAAAGAAACTCATGCAATACGATGATGTCCTGATCAAAACACGCGAGCTTGCCGAGTTCCAGCGACCAAGCGAACGCGAACGCAGCCACCTCTGCTATTGGAACCGTTACACTTGGCCTTTGTCAGACGAGGGGGAGATGATGTTCACACATATGCGAGACGATCTCGTCATCTTGAAGCCGAGGCTTGATTCTAGTAATATCGACGAATGGATCGAGAGAATTATGGATAAGATGCCCCAACGTGCCATTGCTGTAAGTATTACGAGAAGTACAGATGTCGGATCAATGGCTGACGACCTCGCACAAGTACTTCGTCAGGACCGGGCCGGACCCAGAAGAACGGGCGCGTTTACGGTTCTACCACGTCGCCCGAGTCCAACGCCTTGCCGTCCTCATCATCGTCACTGTCATCATCCTACTTCTGGCTGCACCGGTCTTCATCATGTATCGCATAACATGGGACAACACTCGCTCGAGCACCTTCCTCAACATAGGGCTCTTGATCGTCTTTTCGCTGTTGTTCTCCGCATCGATGGGTCTTCTTACCAAGGCAAAGCGAGCCGAGCTTTTCGCTGCGACTGCAGCATACTGTGCTGTGCTCATTGTCTTCATTGGAAACTTCAGTAGTAATGCGACGTAGAACGGTAGATAGCGGCTGGTGTAGAATAAAACAGCAGTTATTGTTCATTGTCGGGTTCTCATGACGCAATAATTCTCGGCAAGCCCACTTCTCACCAGGCCTTCCTATCTCCAAACACTTCCAACATTTGATCGATAGTCATATCGCGGCTACCTGAGGGCGGTTGGAGGACGGCCTCTGCAAGGGCTCGGGCCGTCTCGACAGGACTCAAGCTAACTTCCCTGTCAAGCTGCCAGAAACCCCAGAGCAAACTCATTGAGGCAACTAGACTGAACAGCATAGATCCAATCGCAACCCAAAGCGCTGAATATTCCGCATCGTACCTCAACTCATTACTTGCCTCTTTCCATTTCAATGCAGGTCCGGTCTCATTACCTACATGTCCCCGTCAGATCCTTTCATTGTGGAGGGAGATTGAGCAGCTCTTGTGAAGCCTTTCACTACTTACCAAAAGCAGATGTATACGCTATTCTGAACATCACATCGTGAAAAGCCCAGATCAGATCATCCGTGGCGTTGTCCCACCGAAAGTTGCACGAGTTATTGTCAGGTGGCCAATGCCGGCTCGAATCGAAGTTTGCATACTGCCGAGGTAAAACACCTGAGGGCTCCCAAGAGAAAGCATTACCTGGTGTGCTCGGTTGTGAGACTGTGGCGTTGGATTGGAGAAAGTAATACCCAAAGTATTCGAGAGCTGCAAGTGCATCTGCTGGTGTATCGTCGACGGAGGACATATTTGCAAGCACAGATTGTATCGCCAGAGTCTGAGGGTAGCTAACACGATCAAGAGCAATTGAACTTCCTTGCTGGATCGTGTTGTACATAACGGAAGCCAGGCGCACATCGCACGACTGTGTGGCCATTATCGCGCGGCATTGCGAAGTCGTTTCTGTGGCATACAGTAGCCGCATGTTCAGTACTGATAAGCCAAATTCGTCTGCACTTCGATGAAAGTTGATCTGAAAAAGTGACTGCGGGCCATGGGAAGAATCTTTGAGGTCAACGACATAGTCGTCAGATGAGCACTCAATGCTCACCCCTGCACCGATGACAGGCCCAGTGCAGATGCCGCCACATACATCAGCAGTCCCGATCGTTGAGTTTGTGTACCATTCTTTTAAAATTCTATCAAGGTTGTTTGTAGCGAAAAGTGCAGCAGGTGCTGTGCCGTCCACCGTGCCGGCCCATTCTTCTGGGATACTGGCCGGAAGCGTCCAGGTACTGTCGTACTCGATGATTTGATCTGAGAGGACTGACTTGATAGACCTCTGGAGTAATGGAGCATCATAAATCCTGATTACGGAGGCAATCATCAGGACTGCAAACACCCGCCGTGTTTCAAAGCCAATTCTTAGCGACCTCCAGGTTTCTTTGACACCATTCCACTTGATGTAATGAAGCTTTTGCAATGTCGCACCATTCTGGAAAGCGCGCCACCATACAATCGTTAGGCCATCGGCAAGGATGAAGAACTCAAACGTGTTGAATAGTGTTGCAAGTAACGAGATGAGGACCGAAGGCTGAATAGCCGGCACGCGAGGGATCCAAGTCCCGGTACTGCGACCATCTGACAAATAGACAACCAGTATCAGGCCAGTCAAGCACATGATACAGACGGCGGAAAAAGCGAAAGAAAGCTTTGGAGTGGCTGTACTCTTGTCATGCGGCTGTTTGGTAGTTGGAACATATCTTTTTGGTGGTGGCGACTTCGCTTTGCGTCTGGCCCAGGGCAGCGGAGCATCTGGAAAGAAGTTCGTCATCGAAGACTAAAAAACGCGACCAAAATTGATTTTCGATAGGGTGTAAGATCTTAGGAGCTGAAAAGTAGGAAACAATTACCTGGGTAGCCTTATAGATCATCACGAGGTTCTCGCGATCAACATGCAGTAAGCCCTTTCGCTTACCGTACTTTCTCCTTCTTACACCCGATAAAACTGATACCACCAATACCGAGAATGCTATTACATACATTAAAAAGAGGCCCAGCTGATATCGATCATTGGCTTGCACTGAAGCTTGTGTGGTATGGCCCGGCATATCTCAGCCTTGTCAGTAGGGCCCTTATGATGACTCCCCTGTTGCCGAGTTGGGAACTTGAGTGGGGGTTAGCTGCAGATACCCTGCTGAGACGCTCATAGCAATGGCGACTGTACATCATACTTGATGAAGTCCCACATATAGTCTACCCCGTATCCCAGTATCATCAGGTGTCTTAGCTTGAGCAGAAGAAGCCGAGCTTTGAGTAGCGGCAGTGCTGCCAGCATATAGTAGCACTGTAGTTATTCTTTACAGATTCACGACACTATGGCACCGCTGGTGCCGAGTGAGTCAGGTTTCCATGCTGATGGGATCGCGCGAAGGACTTCCATCAAACAAAAGCCGGCGGCTAGATGACCGTTTGCGACGGCATCGTGCTGGGAACTCGAGGACTCAACACGCGATGCACCCTCGCATGGTTTAGCTGATAAAACGTGCGTGTGTCCGTCGAAGTCTGCTCGCAGCGCCGCTGCTTACTTCGATACGAATTCCCCGTATGCGCTCCCCATGTAATGCTTGTGCAAAGGTTTGAACGCGGGAGCGTATGTTTCTCAGCCTGAGACGGGAGGCGGAAGTAAGCGTTGCGTTGGCGGTCCATAACTGGCTCGTCGACACATTATTAGTTCTGCGGTAGGTTGAAGATGTTGCGAGGTCCCTCACGGGACTATGCTGTTGCTGCCCAAGTCGGGCGCTTCAGGGCGTGAGGTACAAGGCTGAGGCAAGAAGGAACAGCGTATGCCAATGGAGGTACAGCGCATATATCGTTGCCCCGAATCTTTGCGACACAACTCATATATCGCTTTCACCCGGCACATATCCAACAACTTTTCTGGCCTGGTCGTCCAAATCTGCTAATCAACTTAGCTTGCATGTTTGCCAATCAAGAAGCATGGATGCAACCCAAAAATACAACATCGGTACTGGAATTACCTACGCGGTCCGCCACCTTCGAACGACTTTCATAGCTTCAGGATTCATATGGCCTAGCACCTGGAAGACGGACGCAGGCGGTAAGGCTATAACCCGACAGTATACCTATATTCCTTCGGTCTAACGCTGTTAGGTGATGAGCACGAGAGGCGTAGAGCTGATATCGAGACAAAGCTGAGGGCCAACAACTCGTACCTGATTATCGGCGCGGGAACTGTCATTGCCGGCGAAGCGCTTGGATACATCTACCGAACTGACAATCTCATAGAGAAGTTAGTCCCGGCTAAACAAAGTCACGGAGGCGGCTGGGGAGAAACACGATCCCTAATCACAAAGTTCCTTGACGACATGGCATACGATCTCAGCCGAATGAATCCGGCCCTTGATCAGGTTGTTCCAGCAAAGAGCGATTCGCCCTGGGTATGGGACGCCGGCCGAGAACTCTACTACCGCTACGATAGCAAGGACCGAATATATAAATACCACAACGGACTGTGGGTGAGACTGGACGGGTCACAGACAAGCCACGAGCAGGAAGTGCAGTTGGCTCAGGCCTACAACGTATCGGCTCAACCTTTACTGGGCTATGAGAACAGCCTTCTCTCAGTCACAGCTTCGATGCGCCAAATTACCATGGGCCAGGGAGAGGACGCAGCCTTGAAATAACTGGCCTGTTGGATCCAGACGCTTCTCCACATGCATATTCATGACATCAGCGCAGCTTTTGTGGTTTCCAGTAACCTGGTCTTGCTATTTGCTTTCGTACGTGGTATGCGTTCGTCGAAGAGGATAGAATATTTCTTTATCGTACAGAGGTATCGAGTTTGTTTCGCTAATCGCCTTCCGTGACGCCGTTTCCGATGCTGTTGTATATGTACATAGCACAATTACACAAGGGTGCCATCTGGCTCGCCCGGTAGCCGCTTGACACGCCTCTGCTCCCAGTCGTCGATGTCTTTCGCCTGTAATCTCTGCGCAACTGTCAGTCCAGACCCTTCCAGTTGCCTTGTTGCCCAGTATACGCACGTAGTACTCGTCCTTCATGTTCACCTTCCTCCGCTCTCCTCTCAGGCCCATAGCCTGTTCATGTGTGATTTGCTGGTTCTTGCGATCGTATCGCTCGTATCGCAGCGCGGTGGCGGGAGTCAACATGAACGACCCGAGAAGTATCGTAGACAGGAACGGTAGGCCGAAGAGTAGGAAGGGGTGCTTTTGGAGCGACTTTCGGTACTTTGCGGCGAGCGAGTTGGGGAGTGTGGCGCTGAAGGATTTGGAGGTGAAGGGGCCAGGCATGGCTGCGGTCTAGGTCGTGCTCGACCCAAAATTGTGCAATATGGGTGTTGGTATGCGTGCTTGACGTATATGCCGTTCGATGTTGCGGGCGCAGTGCTTTGCGTGAGGATGGTTCGATGCTTCCATATCGAATTGCGGAGTACCTAGCGCTCTTTCCCGAGATCGGGCTTAGCGCGGTCCCGTGACTACGTGATTTCGCGTCCACGTAAACCCATGCATCTTCTTAGCAAATCCCACACACTCGTCAAACCACCGATCATATCGCAAACTGCGCGATTGCAGACGGAGCCACGTATTTATAACGCGAGACGACATTCTTTGAAGGCCCACGAGCGCCACGCCGGAAATTGCAGACAGGTACCCCACCAGCGTCCAATCAGGCGAATCCACCGTCAATACCATCTTGAATCAGTCAAGACTGCTACGAACGCTCGCTTGAGTTTAAAGACCCAACATCATCGCCAGCAGCCAGTTGCCAATATTCCACTCTTTCCTTCCATATCCGACATGCCACATCGGTAACGTGCATCATGGCCCGCAAAGGCGGGAGCTCGACTCAGCGGATGGCACCGCCACCTGTGATTAACGGCAACTCAAATGGCGTGCCCCCACCGTCGACCATTGCGGCCCAAATCGTCAATAATGCGGCAAATGTTCATGCGTGGCAGGGTGAGGCAACCAAAGTCAGCTTTGGAGAGCTGGTCAAAGAGTTTCTCCAACACCCAAACACGGACGAGCCTGATGCACAGCTCGTAGCGCTCATAAGTGTCATCGCCGAAGCAGGACTTGAAGGGTTGTTCAAAGATGACCCGTTCGCCCAGGACCAGCAGAGACAGCAGGGTGTTGACAGTATTGCCGCGCTCACTTTCATCTTGCAACAAAAGCCACATCTGCTGCTGAGCGTCAGAGAGACCGAAGATGACAGCATCTCTCGTCCTCCGCTTATTCTCTGGTTGGTTCCTAAGTTATTGGGCCTACTAGCACATGAAGCACTCACCTATGTGCACGAACATGTACACCAAATACTGCATCTCTGCCTAAGCGCGCTCGCACGAACATCTGCCCTCTGGCGTCCCGCAGCAGCAGTCTCACAGCTTTACAGATCATGTGTGCAAAGTAGGTACTACCCTAAGTTCCATTATCCGAGTACTTACGTCTATCTAGCTATTTTGAAAGAGCTGCGGTCCATGGATGATCCAGCTTCGGCAGCCATGCTGTCTTTCAACCTACTCCTACCATCGTCAAACAGCATCAGCGAGTTTTGGCCAGACAGCCAACAAATCATTGCTTTGCCCCATGATCTGCAGCGAGCAGTTAATTCGCGACTCGGAGCTATCCATGCTGGCTTTTGTCTTCTCACCACCTTGGCATGTGTTGCTCCGCCCCAAGGCAGAGCGTCGGCGACGCCCAGTTCCCTAGATCACCATGTACCATGGATCTTCGACAGTGCTCAAGATTTATGGAAGCATTTCCGGCGTTGGACGGCAACTTCGGAGAGAGGCATCCTCGTCAATGAAATCACGCTCGCATATTTGCAGCTACTCGAAACTCTATTCCTTCCCGCAGGCGCCCCCGGAGACCGTTCCTTGGAATCACTAAAGAATGCACAGTCGCTTATCAATAGCCTCAGCGATCTCGTTGATGGTTTATCGTCAGCGCCGGAGTTAGCGTCAGAAGTCATCCAAGTGCGACTGGCTATCATTTTCACCCGGTTACGCAGTGTTCTTACTTCGCCATCAACGAACGACCCAACCCCACGACGTCGACAGAACATGAGCAGATCGGTCGTCCTGAACGACGTCGAGGCTATCGTGGCTAGAGCCTGTCAGGATGCTGAACACTTCTCTCAGCTTCACAAAGACTTGCAGGTATGAGTGAAACACCGCAGTTTTTGTCTATGCTGATCGAATCTAGCTCGCTCTCTGCCTCTGGACAACACCAGGTATATGGCCTATACACATTGCGGACATACGAAGAGAACTCTGCGAGGGTGACACTGGCAGTTTCTCGGATGCTCAACTTTCCGAAGAATCGACACCAATCCTGAAAAGTTTCCGGATGTTGAACTTGGGTAATGAGGATAGGCCTGCGAAGCGGCGAAAGAAGCTCCTGGATACTCCAGACATCAATCATATTACTTATGAGCGGCTCGTGATGATACTGAATGGCAGTACCCATGACTCCCCGGTTCTCAACCTAACCAATCTCCACAATATCATCGAGTAAGTTGTCTAATTTGACCTAAATGTACGATGCTGACAGATACAGGGCAAGATACTCTTCTATGATGTACGACGATCAACAAAATGAACGTGTACAAGTGGACCTCATGACAGCGTTTGCGAAGATTGCATGCGCCGGTTCCCGGTGTCTAGAATTATCCCAGTCTACATCGCAGCCAGTGAAGTCGCTCAACTGCATGTTATGCGATACGAATTCTCGCCATGAACGAAGCGCCATGACATACTGGAACAGACAGGACGATAGCGAGAGCTGGAAGGAAGTCATTGCCGCTATGCTTACCATAACCAAAGAGCCAGCATTTGAGGAGTCGCTGCAAGCTCGGATACTAATGGCTGTAGCTATTGGCCGTGTTTACAACCACATCTCTGACTCTGAGTATCTATCTCTCGAGATCTGTGAGCTAGGACAGTGGCTGCTTGCGTCTATGAGTAGATCTCTGAGAGAACTGAAGCTTGCCGCAACGAGCTCCTTGATGGTATTCCTGCGGAACGATATATCCAAAAATACCCGCAGTAAGAATCGGCGGTCATTCATTGAGTTCCTGGACGCTTTAGCGCAGCGCGACGTTCTGTCCGACCAGGAGACGCTTATCATCGCGTATGGCCGAACAGCGTTGACTTGTGGAGAGCTCGAGCTGCCCATCATATTGCATCACTTGGTCGAATACTTTGGTCATTCGAACGCACTGGTGTGCGGTATGGCTTACCGCGAACTTGAAACCATCGCCAAAGGGTTGTCCATGTCCACGATGCAGCTCTTGAGTCCCTACTGGAAGGTCATCGGTTTCTCAGTGATAAAAGACTACATCAAGAAGCCCCAGAAAGCGCAGCAATTGGCAGATCTGATCGAACAAAACGTTCGTCAGTTGTTGGTCCTGACGCAAGCGGATACCCTTCCGCATCTCGTTTTGAGCAAAAGAAGAGATATCATCGAAAAGATCGCCCAAGCACGGAAAGCTTCGATCATCGACGTCTTGACGTATCCAAGAGGCAACCTTTCGAAGATACTTGCTCTACTGCTATCACAGCCTGTTCCCGACGTTGAAAAGACAGCAATGGAAACTTTAGCAGCTATAGAGCCTGCTATCCGAGAGAGCAGCAACAACAGGCTCGATTCGTGGGTTGCCCTAGACATCACTGGTGTTGCGATCGAGATACTCAGGCTGGCTGCAGACCAAGAGGGAGTCGGTAAGAAGCCATACTACAGTGCTTTCAGCACGCTGGCGTCGCTCGCACCCGATACCAAATCAGGACAGCGCAAATCGACGTCAAAGTCCAAGAACCTAGATGCCTTCTGCGAGACGCATATTCTGGGCATCATCGCATATCTTTCGAACGTCATCGCGGCTCCTAGCGCCCAGGGTAAAGCCGCACAGTATACGATGCCCGACAGGAAAAATTGCATAGCTGCTATCGGCGATCTCATCTCCCTTGCACGCTTTAGTGTAAACGGCGCGTTACCGCAGATTCGCGCCTGTCTTCAATCAGCCATCGGAGATCCAGACCTATGCGACGATACATTCACCGTTTGGACTGCGTTTTTGGCAGCTCTTGATGGAGATGAAACAATGCTAGTCGTGGATCAAACCTTCGCACTGATTGTACAACACTGGTCGTTGTTCTCTTCAGACACGCAGCTCAAAGCCCATAAAGCTGTCGGAAGCATCATAAGCCAGTACAACCCCCAGCTTCGAGCTAGAGTCGAATACCTTCCCTCACTGTCCGGCATACCAATGTTCTCCAAGATTGAAGGCGAGTTGGCAAAGTTCAGAGATATGATTGAGACCATCAAGGTCTTCCAAGCCTTTAGCAATAGATGCAAAGACCAGACATCGGTCGTGGTGCGTCAGGCTCTGATAGAGCTTGTGCCTTTTCTGGATGCCAATCAGCAGGAATTGCATCAGTCGATCGTTGGCCAAAAGCCTCTTCCGGTTTTGGCCGCATTGACACGATCACTCCTCGATGCCAGCGTTCGTTTCTCGGAAGACCACTCCGATATCACCATTCTTTGTGCTCAGTGCCTTGGTATCATCGGTGGTCTTGATCCTTACCGAGTGGAAACAGTCCGTGAAAAAAAGCGCGTCTTGATGCTTTCGAACTTCGCACGGAGAGACGAGGATATCGATTTCG